ACTTGTATCTTTAGGTGGTGAACACGGATCAAGCAAACCCACATGCACCCGAAGTTCTGGGGTAGACTGAATCCTCTTAACTAGAGCATACGCGAGCAGCTTTGCATCCTCATCAGTGCGCAAGGCCCATATCTGACCAACCTTGAACTTCTCCTTGGACCTTTGCTCGGTAAAGTCAAAGCATTCAGCTTGTGGCACATTACAATTAGGAGTTATGGATGGTTCAACAGCAGGAGATTTTGCGGATATCTTAGTACTCGGGTCTTTGACACTTGAACTTGTCTTCGCAGCGGAGCTACTAGTAGTGTGGCTGCAGAAATCAGAGTTTTCATCTTTTTGGGAATGTGTTTGCCTGGAAGACACTTCTTCATTTGTAAGCCGATTACCATTTGCTTCACTCTTTTGTTTGCTTACATCCCTAGGTGATCTCCTAAGCTTAAAGGCCTCTGATTCGTGATTTCTCCCCTGCTTCTTTGGCGTGTTGATCCCCTCCTCATCAGCCTGACACACACTGGCTCTTCTCTTTGATAGAGGTACATTTCCGTTGCTTAGGTCATTCTTACCACTGTCCACAGCAACCCCTTGGCTCCCACCTGTTTGACCATTACTATTTGACTTTCTTGGAGATTTTCTAGGCAATGAAGTCTCTTTCTTCAAGCTGCTTCTCTCATGCTTCCCAGATGCAGAAATCCCCTCAAAACCACTTGCATCTTCTGCCTCACTTTTCTGTGACTTGGGACACGAGACATTGATTCCGGCATTGATGCTTCCACCGTCCATTTTTGCATCGTTATCATCACCAGACTCGAATAAACTGGGGGGTAATGATGCAGGATCTAATTCATAAGATCCTTTGGGAATGCCTTCTCTTTCCTCACCTGACAATCTAAAAGAGGGAACTCGATGAGAAAATCTGTACATCTCATTAGGTGGAATTTGGAATGAAAAAATTCCATGTTGCTCAGTTTGTTGAAATACGCTAACAAACCCTTTCAGTCTCCCTAAATAAGCTACATGTACACCAGCATCCTCAACAAAGTCTGACAGGACTTCCACAAAATCAAACTTGAACGGTTGATGCTTTTGAGGCTCAGTACTCCAATTAATACCCCAATTCTGGAAGAGAGCCCATGTTTCTCCCTTCATGGGATATACCACGAAAGTATTTCGTCCACTGCCTTTTATGCAGTGCATCTGATGAGAAAACATATTGTGATCTGCCATCTGAGTGTCCCCAAGTACGTACTTCCCACAAGCAACTGGCAACTCCTTATCACACCAATCAATCTCAACTTTGTTATCTGGATTCGCCTCCAGCCAAGTGATCTTCAGCTTAAATTCAGGGAAGAACACTTTCTTGATACGAGCATAGAATCTTGGCATACAATCTACTGCATCATAAATAGCCCAAGTTTGGTTAACAGCAAAACAGCTTTCTGCCTTCCCCTTATCAAAATCATTAAACTCAGGATCCGGGGATGAAAAACTCTCTGGAACTGCTGCTTCATTTGACTTCAACTCAGAATCATCATTGGTTTTTGACTTTTGGCCGGGGTGATCAAATATGTCTGCTTCCTTTCCCTTAACCTCAGATTTACGAGCTCTGTTCTTCTTGATTGTCGAACTTTCTTCAAGGGGAACACTGGAAAACTCTGCTTGAGCTGGCAAATCATCATTAGCTATCCCACCTTTTTCAGAAGAATTTCTAGTACTCTCTTTACTAACATCGGATGAATTGCTCACCCACGACCTCTTTGGAGGACTCACAAAATCATCATCATCACTCAAATTGTACTTGTAGGAAACATTCTGCTTCTGTCTTGAAGATCTCCTACGAGGATGACCTTCATTCGCTGCAGAAGAGTCAGCAACATTATCTTCCCTAACATCATCTTCACTTTCAGTCATATAACTCTCACTGGATTCCACAGTCAACTTCCTCCCCCTCTTTCTAATCAATTTTTTAGAAGAATCTGGTTTCTTAGACTTGACGGAATCATGATAAGGCATTCCAACCCCTTGCTTCGGAACAGGCACATCCCCGTTATCTCTCTCTTCCATCTTGGACTCGCTTCCTGTCTTTGACATTGGTTGTGAGCCACCAAATGTATTTGAAGATCTTTCGACAGATGACTTTCCATTACAACCTTGTGATGCCACATTTGGAGGCCCCTGATTAGGAGTCTCTTCCATCTTGGACTCGCTTCCTGTCTTTGACATTGGTTGTGAGCCACCAAATGTATTTGAAGATCTTTCCACAGATGACTTTACATTACTACCCTGTGATGCCACATTTGGAGGCCCCTGGTTAGGAGTCTCTTGCACATGCGGAAATTGACCCCAAAAGGATCCTGGCCCTGATATACCCCAATCAAGGGCAACAAAACTTTTGTAGCAACTTTGACACATTAACGTCTTATTCACACAATCTCTGTAGTATTGATACCTCGTATTGCAAGAGGAGCAACATGTCCAAAAAGTTTGTGACTGTGCCTGCTGATGCCAATACCAACCAGTAGATTGTGGACAGGGATGATTCTGAAAATTATTCACAGCACTATGCTGTTTCTGAGCAAATGAGTTCCCTTTTGGTTGATGACGTGACGGTCTAGAACTAGCAGTCTTCACTAAAGCTCGGTATCTCATGTCATAACCAGAACGGTTTGGTTGATCTGAGAGCACCCTGTTCGCCTCACCAATCAACTTAAAAGCAGCCTCGGCACCAGCAAACTTGTTCTTGTCCGGATGAAGTAACAACGCGAGCTTTCTGTATTGTTTCTTAATGGTTACAGCATCAACTGTCTGTTCAGTCTGAAGAATTCTATACCAGTCCATTTCAGTCCCACCAATTTTAACTTGCGCCGAACAGTGAACTTCGCAGACCATAAGCAACTGAGAAATGTTCTCGAGATCAGGAAATAATCGTTGAGCCTTTTGACCAATCTTCTGCGCCCCTGAAAAATCATGGGCCTGCATCTTCTTTTCTGCAAGTTGCATTGCCCTGAAAGCCTCCTCTTTGTTACACTCCATAGTCGATTTATATTCTAGAACGCCGGGATTCACCCCAATAGAGTATAAGCACCGCAAACTAATCTATCCCCATTCCTGCATCATTCATCGGTTTATCCAAAACCATCACCCTGCTTCAATTAGACCCAGAAAAATGTAAATTCCCACCAATAAATGCATATCCAATTAAAACAAAAAATAATAATAATAATAGTGAAGGACTAACCATGCAGTAAAACCACAGGAAAAACTTGACAGGAATATCCAAAAGAGAATGCAAAGCAATTACCTCGCCTTTTTGAGAATTCAGAGATCAGAATGGCCAAACTTTGCACCACCATCAAAATTTCAGCAAGAGATTACTATTCTACAGACACAAAGGGGAAAAAAGGAAAAAAAAGAAAAAAAAATCAATCTTGCAAAACGTTTTCAACAAACTTTCATACAGTTTATTAAAACATATGATAAAAAAATAAAAATGAAAGCCCAAATAAAGATCTTTTCCCTAGTTTCTGATATCTCCTGTTCCAACAAAATCAGTCCAACAAAAAAAGGAAACACATGCACATTCAAATAAAACTCTTAAATACATACGTAAAATTTAAGCACAAAATCGCATAAATGCAAAAAACCGCAGCTCAATAGTGAGAACAAGAACAAATTATGAACAAAGAAAAGAACGAAAATGCAAGGCCGATTAAGATAAAATACCGGGAAAATAGTGCGATTCTGAGGAATTCTCCGGAAACCCTAGAAATCTGAGTGGTGGAGGAATTTGCAGAAACTAGGGGAAGAAGGGTTTAGTGGGCCGTTTGAGTGATAGAGAAAATGAGAGGGAAAATGAAGCGGGAAGAAAAACGTGAAAAATGAAAAAATTTTGGGTAGAAGAAAAGAGGGAAAACTTGACCCTCTTTCTTTTGTTTTTTCGTTTTTGCTCTGAAACTAAGCCCCTTATTTTCTCTGAAATTGCTCTTCTAGGTTTTGTTTGCCTTTGCACTTTGGGCGCTGATTTGTATTTATATTTAATAAAATATAAATGAGAGCCTAATTTTATTTTATTAATTAGCTGAGAAAAAAAAACTGTCCCAAGCGGTGACGGGGTTTTTTGGAAATATCCAGAAACTAGGCGAGAACCTCTCTGATTGGCTTAGCTTGTTTTGACTTTTCAATTTGGTGCAAAAATGCAATTACAAAAAGTTTGCTTTATTGGCATAAATAATTGGAGAAAAATTTACAAATAAGGTATATTATTTGAACCTTTTTATGATAAGGTCAGATCTAATTAAAATTATATTAAATTAAAACATATATAAAATAAATAATGTTTAATATAAATTTAATTGTTAAAATTAAAGAGATGTTTAATTTATGAATTAAAATCATGTTATTTAAATTATTTTTTATTTACGTGTATTTTTTGTGAGAGAAAATACTATAGCGAACCACAAACTATAATTCAAATCATGATTTGAATCATCCAAATTAAATTTTTATGAGAGAAAATACTCTTAAGTCTTTTTAATAATTTATTTTCTCAGAGTTCACTAAAAAAATTAAATATTATCTTGTCTTGCTAGTAGGGGAAGTTTTATTAATTATTTATTAAATTACCCAATAAAAATGTATTTAATTAAATTTTTATGATTTTGTTTATGAATGTTCATGTTAAAAATCATATTGTTAAAATTTTGAATTAATTTCCTTCAAAATAAAAACTTATTCTACCCGTGGACAAAATAATGTGCCCTTACATATAGGGCGTGTTTAGAATTCGTTCTAAAATGATTTTATTTTTTGTATGAAATTGAAAATGAAAATGTTTTCAATCTCAGATATAAATTATTTTTAAAAATACGTTTGATAGTTTTATCAAGAGATTATTTTTAGTATAAAAAATCCATTAATGTCTCTATCTCTTTTTCTCTGCTCAAGAGAGGAGAAAACGAAATCAAAAAATGAAAAACAACTAAAAGTCGTTTTTCATTTCTCTCTCATTTTACACTAACCAAAAAATCGTTTTCATTTCTGTTTTTTGTCTTTATTGCGCCAAACGCCGTTTTAGAAACGCTTTCATTTTTTCTTTCTTAAAAAATGTGAAAAATAAAAACAGAATCAATTCCAAATACACCCAAATTTTCTTTATTGGAGGCTTTAGTAGCAAAAAGAAATCATCTCAAGGCTTTAATGGTAAAGAACATTTGGGCTATGTTTCGTAAGAGATATGAGAAATAGGAAAGAAAGAGAAGCAAATATATAAAATAAATAAATACCGGAGTTTTTTATATTGTTTAGTAAAAAAAAATAAAGAATAAATGTTAAAAATATAAATGAGAGCCTAATTTTATTTTATTAATTAGCTGAGAAAAAAAAACTGTCCCAAGCGGTGACGGGGTTTTTTGGAAATATCCAGAAACTAGGCGAGAACCTCTCTGATTGGCTTAGCTTGTTTTGACTTTTCAATTTGGTGCAAAAATGCAATTACAAAAAGTTTGCTTTATTGGCATAAATAATTGGAGAAAAATTTACAAATAAGGTATATTATTTGAACCTTTTTATGATAAGGTCAGATCTAATTAAAATTATATTAAATTAAAACATATATAAAATAAATAATGTTTAATATAAATTTAATTGTTAAAATTAAAGAGATGTTTAATTTATGAATTAAAATCATGTTATTTAAATTATTTTTGATTTACGTGTATTTTTTGTGAGAGAAAATACTATAGCGAACCACAAACTATAATTCAAATCATGATTTGAATCATCCAAATTAAATTTTTATGAGAGAAAATACTCTTAAGTCTTTTTAATAATTTATTTTCTCAGAGTTCACTAAAAAAATTAAATATTATCTTGTCTTGCTAGTAGGGGAAGTTTTATTAATTATTTATTAAATTACCCAATAAAAATGTATTTAATTAAATTTTTATGATTTTGTTTATGAATGTTCATGTTAAAAATCATATTGTTAAAATTTTGAATTAATTTCCTTCAAAATAAAAACTTATTCTACCCGTGGACAAAATAATGTGCCCTTACATATAGGGCGTGTTTAGAATTCGTTCTAAAATGATTTTATTTTTTGTATGAAATTGAAAATGAAAATGTTTTCAATCTCAGATATAAATTATTTTTAAAAATACGTTTGATAGTTTTATCAAGAGATTATTTTTAGTATAAAAAATCCATTAATGTCTCTATCTCTTTTTCTCTGCTCAAGAGAGGAGAAAACGAAATCAAAAAATGAAAAACAACTAAAAGTCTTTATATATATATATATATATATTTCCCTACGACGGCTGTAGTTGATTAGCTTTCTCAAGTTCCCATTCAGCTGGCTACCTGAGCAATACGTCCATAAATTTCTTTCAACCAAAATGTAATAATTAGACTACAGCATAGAGAAAATCACCAAATTAGAACACTTCTATAGTCATATGATCTGACCTACAGTGTCGAGAAAATCACCAAAATTTTTAGCACAATGCTTAATGAATTTGGCAGGTCATATATCCATTAATTGCGATATATTTCACTACTTGAAAGAGCAAACAAGTTCGGCAATGCAAAACTCAGCTAAGCATACATAACAAAAAACACCAGCAGATGCCACGTATTGTGAACAATAATTAATGGCCATAGAGTTCTATGATTCTAAACCAGTGATTCCAAAATGATATTTGCCGCATTACATTTGTTCTCTAGTGCTTTGTGCAAAAAGCCACAGGTTTACAACACAGATGGCAGAACCAATGAGTATCTTGGCAAAACCTCCGGCTTACATCAAACAATAGAGAACAAAATGAATACAAAATATACTACTGCCAACCTCAATCTAAACAAACAATGCTAACAGGGATCGATGACGGGTCAAGCTCCCAACAGCCATCAAGGCGGCTATCGCTCTCCCCTGTATGTTGAAATGCAGGAATCTGATGCAGAAATCGAGCCACCTCTGCACGTGGTATGTCAAGCACACCAGTTTTTGATCTCTGGATCCGTGGAGCCTTGAACATTGACTTGAATCCACTAACACGAAAAAGAAGAACAACCGTTGTGCTCTGGTCATTATCTTCCAGCACTTCCACTATATCACACTTGCCCTTATTCGGACTAGGACTAGTCAAGTCACCGTTCCGGCTCTTGTGCAGCGCCCAAATTTCACCTTTCCTAGGGTAGATTTCATATACATTGAGGCCCATGGGTTTTGCATTCAAACAATGGGAAAACGAAGAAAGTGAAAACACCTTGGTTTCTTTGTTTCTAAATTTAAAAATCCCACAGCAAACAGGATGACTTGTATCTTTAGGTGGTGAACACGGATCAAGCAAACCCACATGCACCCGAAGTTCTGGGGTAGACTGAATCCTCTTAACTAGAGCATACGCGAGCAGCTTTGCATCCTCATCAGTGCGCAAGGCCCATATCTGACCAACCTTGAACTTCTCCTTGGACCTTTGCTCGGTAAAGTCAAAGCATTCAGCTTGTGGCACATTACAATTAGGAGTTATGGATGGTTCAACAGCAGGAGATTTTGCGGATATCTTAGTACTCGGGTCTTTGACACTTGAACTTGTCTTCGCAGCGGAGCTACTAGTAGTGTGGCTGCAGAAATCAGAGTTTTCATCTTTTTGGGAATGTGTTTGCCTGGAAGACACTTCTTCATTTGTAAGCCGATTACCATTTGCTTCACTCTTTTGTTTGCTTACATCCCTAGGTGATCTCCTAAGCTTAAAGGCCTCTGATTCGTGATTTCTCCCCTGCTTCTTTGGCGTGTTGATCCCCTCCTCATCAGCCTGACACACACTGGCTCTTCTCTTTGATAGAGGTACATTTCCGTTGCTTAGGTCATTCTTACCACTGTCCACAGCAACCCCTTGGCTCCCACCTGTTTGACCATTACTATTTGACTTTCTTGGAGATTTTCTAGGCAATGAAGTCTCTTTCTTCAAGCTGCTTCTCTCATGCTTCCCAGATGCAGAAATCCCCTCAAAACCACTTGCATCTTCTGCCTCACTTTTCTGTGACTTGGGACACGAGACATTGATTCCGGCATTGATGCTTCCACCGTCCATTTTTGCATCGTTATCATCACCAGACTCGAATAAACTGGGGGGTAATGATGCAGGATCTAATTCATAAGATCCTTTGGGAATGCCTTCTCTTTCCTCACCTGACAATCTAAAAGAGGGAACTCGATGAGAAAATCTGTACATCTCATTAGGTGGAATTTGGAATGAAAAAATTCCATGTTGCTCAGTTTGTTGAAATACGCTAACAAACCCTTTCAGTCTCCCTAAATAAGCTACATGTACACCAGCATCCTCAACAAAGTCTGACAGGACTTCCACAAAATCAAACTTGAACGGTTGATGCTTTTGAGGCTCAGTACTCCAATTAATACCCCAATTCTGGAAGAGAGCCCATGTTTCTCCCTTCATGGGATATACCACGAAAGTATTTCGTCCACTGCCTTTTATGCAGTGCATCTGATGAGAAAACATATTGTGATCTGCCATCTGAGTGTCCCCAAGTACGTACTTCCCACAAGCAACTGGCAACTCCTTATCACACCAATCAATCTCAACTTTGTTATCTGGATTCGCCTCCAGCCAAGTGATCTTCAGCTTAAATTCAGGGAAGAACACTTTCTTGATACGAGCATAGAATCTTGGCATACAATCTACTGCATCATAAATAGCCCAAGTTTGGTTAACAGCAAAACAGCTTTCTGCCTTCCCCTTATCAAAATCATTAAACTCAGGATCCGGGGATGAAAAACTCTCTGGAACTGCTGCTTCATTTGACTTCAACTCAGAATCATCATTGGTTTTTGACTTTTGGCCGGGGTGATCAAATATGTCTGCTTC